TGTCCAATTAATTTCTTTCTAGTTTTGGTAGAGACGGGGTCTCGCTCTTGCTCAGGCTGGTCTCGAACTCCTGAGCTGAAACCATCCACCCGCCTCGGCCTCCCAGAGTGCTAGGATTACAGGCGTGAGCCACCGCGCCCAGCCTGATGAGGGATTTTGACTAATATGAATATATGAAAAGAGTTACTTAAAATTTTCTTATAGTTTAACAACAAAATGTAGCTATCAATCTTTTGTTCAATTCATGATTACTGTTTCTAGTAGAAAAAATATGTACAAAAGAAATGTGGCAAGTTTTTTTTTTGCCCCCCCCGCCCCCCTCTTTTTGTGGCAAGTTTTGTTAGAGGCTAACAGTGAATGGAAAAATCAAAAATTTTTAATCAAATTTAGATCTTAATATTTTTGTTAGGTAGAAATAATGGCGAATGTTTTTTAAATGTTAGAATATTATTGAGAAATTTTTTAAAATTTATTTTTTCAATTTTTATTTGTATATATTCATGAAGTACAAGTACAATTTTGTTATATTGTACTGTGGTGAAGTCAGGGCCTTCAGTGCATGTATCACTAAAGCAATGCACATTGTACCGACCAAGCAACCTCCTGTTATCCACCCCCTTCCCACCTCAACCAATAAATTTGATATGAAAAAAATTGAATTAAATCTGTTTTAAATGTGCATGGAAAACAGTTGATTTCACAAAAGAAATATGCAGAAATTTTCTGCTTCTGCCCATGAAGCATTAATAGCTACAGGAACTGATGTTTTGCTGTAAACAACTCAAAAATCGGGCTAAAGAAAATGAATTGTGACCAGATACTGTTAAACAGGGAGCTCAGTATTATGATCCCTGAGAGAAGGGAAACAAATGAAATGAGCCCTACCATTGTCCCAGCCTGCTGCCTGGAGACATTTTCCAGGTCAAAGAGTAGTGATGGAGAGATCCCAAACAGAGATATTGTCAACATACACCTTATGTTCCAACAGTGTAGAGGAAAACATGAACATGAGAGAAATGGAAGATACTATAGAAGACCCAAGTTGAACTTTATTAATAGATGAAATGAACTTGTGGAATAAAAAAGATGATAACTAAATTGAAAAGTTGAGTGGATACAATTAATAACAGAGCAATTAGTGCTTTAAAAAGAAAATCAGTGAAATAGGAACGGAAACTGTACAAACTAAAACATGAGAGGAAAAAGACTGTAAAAACAACACATCAGAAACCTATGGAACAGAATCAAGCAGTCTAGTATATATTATTGGAATATCACTAAGGGGCAGAAAAAATATTTGAAGATACAATGAAATTTTTCCATATTTGCTGCAAAGTGGAAACCCATAAATGTAAAAAAAATGTTAACTCCCAAGCAATAGAAACATAAAACTATACATAACCACATCATATCAGATTGCTGGAAGTTGGTGATGAGTACAAAAATCTTAAAAAGTAACCAGAGAGAGAAAAGACATCACATAGAAAGGAACAAGAAATAAAAATGGCAGCAAACTTCTTTCCGTACGCCATGCAAACTAGAAGACGTCTCTAAAATATTGAGATGGAGAGGTATCTTTAAAGGATTGAAAGTTAAAAATATATATATATATATATATATCATTACTATTTCTCTCTAGCACTTCTGTGTACAGGCAACAATTGGAATTTGAAATTTAGAATCAGTATTTATAATAACAGAAAACATGATGTACTTAAGGAAAAACTAAAATATGTATGAAACCTAACAAGGTATTACTGAAGAAATTAAAACAGACCTAAATAAATGGTGAGATATGCAACTTTAATGAATCAAAATTCATTGTTGTTGGGATGTCAATTCAGCCCAAATTGTTCTGTACGTTTAATGCAGTCCCAATCAAAATCCTAGCAGCCTTTTTGGTAAAAAGGTAACAAACTGATTAAAAACTTATATGAAAATGTAACGACCTAGAAGATGAAAATAATATATAAAAGGAGCAAATTTGGGTTCAAGACTCTGAGTTCAAGACTTACTGTAAAGCTGTAGTAAAAGACAATGGTTTTGACATAAGGATAGATAACAGATCAGTGGACAGACTAAAGAATACACATGTGGTCCATTGGTTTACAACAAGCATGCCATGGTAATTTAATAGGCAAAAGGTTTTCAACAAATGTCGCTGAACTAACTAGAGGGAAAAGGAGGACCTCAGCCCTTACTTCATACCATATACAAAAATTAACTCAAAATGGGTTGTAGACCTAAATACAAACACTAAGAATAGAAAGCATCTACAAGAAAATGGTATAATTATGCTGTGTAGAAAATTCATATAGGATTTTAATGAGCTTAATTGAATTTGTCTGAAGGTTTTCCTCACAAAATTCTAACTTAAAATATCAAAATCATAAAAGTGGAGTCGGGGTCAAAAGGGCAGCAGCAGATGATCTGGCTCAGAATATTCTATAACCATAGCATCATTTACCATCATTGCCTTAGTTTACAAAATTTATGGTAATATTGCTATTGTATATATCACTGTATAATAAAGAGTAGTGTCAGTTATTTTTTTAATAGGTTTATTACAGTCTTCAATCTTTAAGAGTATCTGTAAGTGTCTTAATGGGTTTCTTTCAGTTACAGGTTTCATTTTTATGAAGGCAAGTTTCTGTGCTCAAGTGATAATTTGTGTATTTTATACATTTCTGTCTATTGTATAGACAATATATACTATATATTATACAATATATAATTATACAATATATAATGTATACATTATATATTTGGATTCACTGTGAATAGATCCCTACTCAGTTTTATGGGTCTACTATTGGATTTTCATGAACTTTTGGTCATATCGTTGAATTGGTAATACCTGGGGTTTCTTTGGTATTTGGTTTTATGATTGCCATTTCCTCCCAAATTGTTCAGTAAACATGTTATGAAATGTTAAGCTAGAGGAACTCTAACCACTAATTGCATGTTTAAGCCTGATGATGCATGTTTAGTTTATTTTTGTTTTTAATTTTTTTTATTTTAGTAACAATGATGATGTTATGTTGATTTCTGTGGAAAGTCCTAATTTGACAACTCCAATTACATCAGATCCAACAGGTATCTTAAGTTGATTAGAATATGATCATC